TGACTCATGTGTGCCAATTTGTTTTTTGTACGGATTTTTACCTTGCAATAACATTCGTCTTAGTGTTTTCATTTCCGTTTTGATTTTTCTTAAGAGTCCTATGCTTTTACCTGTGTCTATTAGTGCTGTTTTGACAGGTCTTCCTGTCCAAGTTTGGGGGACGCGTTTGCGCATTCACATCGATGGATATTTTTGCATTCGTCACTCCACTTGGTAATATTGTTCTTTTACCTTCTTTGCTCTTATTTTGTTTAGCTTGTCTTCACACATTGAGGACAATGTGACATTCAAGTTTGGGGGTGCAATAGGACATTTTTGGTTTTGCATTTAGACATTTTTGGTTTTGCATTTTTGCTAAGCAATGATAATGGAATTTGAAACCTGTTGGAGATGAAAGCATATGTTTAAAACTTTGTGTATAGAATCAGCTGATATTTTTGAAAATAAAGAAATTTTGAGTTGAAATGATCATGTAGATTCAAATTAGTCTGTATAAATGTCTCAATTAAATTCTCGCTGGATTTGACACTCTTTTAAGCTTCACAATGCACAGATGCACATTGGAAACTTAACTGTGAGGCATGCAACTTGATCGACCTTGACCTTGGCCTAGTTAATTTGATTTGATGAACCTGATAGATGAATATCTTTGGCATGATGTAAGTTGTCTAAAAAAAAAAAAAAAAAAACTGAAAAGGAAAGAAAATAATGACCAGTTGACGTTCGTAGCCTTTCCAACTCGAGCTATTAAGCCCTAGGAGTGTCTCTACACTTAACACCCTAAAGCCATCTGGTTTGGGAGTTGTTGGCCTAACGCTTGCTACAAGGGTTGGTTAGAAAGCTTAAAGGACTTAAACATTGCACGGTCATTCAAAAAGATTGTAATAAGCATGGTTCGCTAGAGTTCGTAGCCTTTCCAACTTGAGCTATTAAGCCCTTTGGAGTGTCTCTACACTTAACACCCTAAAGCCATTTGGTTTGGGAGTTGTTGGCCTAATGCTTGCTACATAGGTTGGTTAGAAAGCTTAAGGGACTTTAGCATTGCACAACCATTCTATGTTTCGCTTATAAGTTGCAATATATTGTCAACAAGCAATAAAAGTTGTCTTGTAAATAAAATCATGCCTTAGGGACCTCATTTAAAGGGGAATTCAATGATTTGAAAACTTGTGCTTTGGAATTGGAAAAGAAAGTAAAAACCGCATGTTGAGAATCCAATTCACTTTCATTGAAGCTAGAGTTGATTTCCATTCAAGAGATGATAATTGAGTTATTTATATAGACTTTGATGTTGATGCATATATGTGGAAATGTATTTAGCCAATTTTTGTATCAATGCTTCATATATGCAAGGTAGTTTTCCCAATGACCCCATCTCCAGTTTTTGTCTGTTTCAAGTTGTATTTGAGCTATGTATCTATCTCATTTTACCATGGATGATATTTTTGTAGTAGCATGCCCATGGTTGTCTTTTCATTGAAGTATTCATTGTAGTTTTGCTAAGGGACTAGCAAAATGTAAGTTTGGGGGTGTGATAAGCGCCGAATATTATATATTCAAGCGCCCTAAATTGCATTAGTAAAGTCCGTTGTATGTTAATTTATGTAGATTATCTTCATTTCTATGTTTTTATGCATTTTCAGGTTCATTGGCCAAAATGGAACAAGAATAAGGCCTTGTGGAATCTTGAGCAACAAAAGGTGCCAATGCTGAATTCTGGCAGCAGTAGAACCTGGACTTTGCTCGCCATTTTGACCTTCCAAACTCGAGAACTGGACTTCCCTCATAACATGAAAGATTTAGAGCTCTGAATCAGCTTTCTAAATCTTCAAACGGTTTGTCATTCGGAGCTCGGAGCAGAGAGTTATGGCCTTGTTACCAGAGGTGCGCAGAACTGCCTGGCAGCAATGAAATTCTGCCTTGATCTTCATTTTCGACCAACGATCCTTGAGAATTGGATCTCCACCAAAACATGAAATATTTAGAGCTCTGAATTAGCTTTCTAAATCTTCAAACGGTTCATCATTCGGAGTTCGGAGCGCAAAGTTATGGCTGTTTAACCGAAGTAGGTCTGGGCGGAGCAAGGCAAGAATGGAGCATTCTGCTCCAATTTCGAGTGCTCGAGCCCTTATTTCGAGTGCTCGAACTTAGGGCAGAATTGCATCCGGAAATGGCCCATTTTCAGCCACTTGCATCTTGGGTTCCTCAATTCTAATTTCCCTCTTTAATGGTTGGTTGGAGATGTTGGTTGGTGGGGGTTTCTAGAGCCTTATCTCTAGAAGATAAGAGAGGGAAGCCACACAATATGAGGGAGCTTCATTTTACAAGATTAGAGAAGAGAGCAAGGAGGGTATGTTCTTGAAGCCAAAGGAAGGGAGCTCGAAAATGGCTTATTCTTCCAAGCTTCCTTCTTCCATTTTTGTATCCATGGATAACTAAACCTCCATCTAGGGAGGTGATGAAGCTCTCTCTTGTAAGCATGTTTTAATTTCATCTAATTTGGGGAATGATTCATGTACATGGTAGTTTCATGATTTAGAGCACTTACACTTGTTGTAATGGATTTCAATGCCTATAAATGATCATGTTGAGTTCTTATCTTGTCTTAGATTTTATCCTCTCATGATTATATAACTTGCATCTTCATAGTGAGAATGGAAATGAAATTGTGAAATGGGTTTAAAGGCATGTTGTATGAGAAATTTGTTAATCCATAGCTTAAGACTTCCTTTTGATGGATTAATCTTGTATCTTGACTTCATGTGCTATTACCATAGTGATTAAGGGGTTTGATGGTCCCTAGCTTAGTGAGCATGTTATGGCTACACCCTAATCTAGGTAGTTCTAGCATGTGGCTCTTTGAGGGATTATACTTAAATCTTGATCCTATGATTTTCTTGAGGATAATGTAGCAATCTAGTATTACTACATATCATTGCCATGTAGTGAAATTGTTTCCCAAGTTAATAGAAATTTAGTATGTTTATAGGATTGGTGGTGAATTCACTTCCCTAGACCTCCTTTTCTAGACTTCTTCTTCTTAAATTCCTTGCATTTATTTCTTTAAGCACATTTCAATTCTAGTGACTAAGTGACAAACCAACAAAACTTTATAAACCCTTCATCATTCTAGAAAGATTCTAGACACTAAGGTTGCTGTAAGACTAGCGCAGTCCCTGTGATTCGACTTACCCGACCAATAGCCCTATTTTACAATGATTCGTGCTATTGCGAAGGTTGATGTATAGTTGATCAACCGATCATACACAACTCGACGAAATGTGAAAATGAATCTTGTACGAGGATCCAGTCTCAAACAAGACATTTTGCAATAACTTTCATTAATTGCACAATGGCCCATCCAAAAAGTGAAAACTGCACTTATGGCCCAGAATAAAAATAGCTTCCAAAAATATTTTCTTAAAAACCTCTGAAATAAAATATCTTTAAAAGATATTTACGAAAAACACCCCAAGAAAAGAAAATAATTTCAAAGAACTTTGCATCCATGCCCCTATGGACACCGGGAGTAACCAGAGTACTTTCTTGCAAAAGTAAAGATACGTATTTCGTGGAACCCACTCAAGATGGAGATACATGAAGTCAAAAACCAATTCCGAACACAAGAAGTGTGGTTACGCCAACAAAGTGTCAAACGGGAAAAAGACAAAATAGGGAAAATGACGAAAAGTGAATAGTGTCGAAAAACGAAAAATGTGAAAATGACTCGATCCTCAAAGTAAGTTGTCAATTCACGGAAAAGAGTCTCATGAACCAATTCCAAGCACTCGAGATGACACTAAGCGACACGAAACAGAGCTCAGAAAAGAAAATTAAACGAAAAAATTTCATTCGTAAAATTTCTAGAAAAAGGAAAGGAATGAAAATGACTGGATCGTTACAAATTGTTGTATGAAAGATCCAAGATTTGCAGAGATGTGAGGTTTCAAATTTCACGAGGAATTTTGCCATCAAATTTATTTGAACAAAGTCTAAGAACCATCAAGTTTGAAAGCCTTTCCCCAATCCATGATGGTGTGCTTCCAACAAATTTATTCTCATCCAAGTCGATTATTAATAAACCTGTGCAATTTTGTAAAGATAAAGGTAGTTCTCCAGAGAGGCTATTGTTGCGCAAGTGTAACGATGTTAGATTGCTTAGAAATCCCACGGAGCTTGGAACGGTCCTAGTCAAATTGTTTTTTTTTTTGTAGATCGATGAATTCTAACGATGGCCAATTCATCCAACATTTTGGAATATTACCTGACAAAAGATTATCTCCAAGATGAAGAATTTCCAGTTGATGCGGATTGTGACTGGAGTGACATAGGAAGTTAGAAATATCTCCTGAAAATGAATTGTTAATTTGAAAAATCTAGCTCCTTTACATTAGGAGAGACAATGGGTAATGGACCGTTAAATTTATTGGAGTTTAAGTAAACCGATGAGGAATAATAATTTTTTTTTTTTTTTTTTGGAATGTTTGGGATCTGTCCACGGATTTGGTTGTCAGCAAGGTTTACATAATTAACGGAGGAAGACCAGTTCCAAAACCAAGAGGGAATATCATTTGATATACCAGCGTAGGATAGGCCCAAGCTTGAAATTTCATTTTTGTGATCGAAGCCACATAGGAAATTCTGGCCCCACGCGCAAAGAAAACAAATATATTTCATTAAGTTAGAAGGGTGGGATCCAGTTTGGACTCAACTGCAAAGTCAATGAATTTTGAGACATAGATAAGCGTTTTAAATTTGCACGACTAGCTAAGTGAACTTCAGAAATAACCCCTTCCAACAAATTATCAACGATCCAAAGGACTTCTAACTTTGAAAGGTGTCCAAGATTTTTGGGAATGGTATCGAAAATTAGATTACTCGATAGATCGAGGGAGCGCAAATTTTTAAAGTGTCCAAGGTGATTTTTTAAATGACCAAAAAGTTGATTAGAATATAATTCCAACGACTCCAAAGCATCTATAACACATACGGACAAACTTTTAAATACTTAGTGATACCTTTCCACAAAATCTGTTTTCTCCCAAACCAATCGCCTTCAAGTTACAAAGATTTTGTAATTCACTAGAGATCACTCCTTGTAGAGAATTGAAACCAAGGTGAAGGGACTCAAGACGCTTAAAGCTGTACAACCAAGTGGGTATGGTACAATTCAAATCATTGTAAGACAGATCGAGATGTACAAGAGTACTAGAAATGTTAAGAAGACCATTTGGAATTGGACTTCGCAAACTATTGTCACGTAGATTAAGAGAGACGAGGCCTTTTGTATTGAAAAACCAATCACGTAACAGAGAACTAAGACTACTTCCAGAAATATCAAGGACTCTAGCTAAGAGACGTAAAATTAACGGGAGGTAACGGAACAAAGTGAGTAAGACTAGAAAAAGACAAATGTAATTCAACCAAACAAGGTTGGGCGTTCATCACCTGCAGCCAGTAACATGTTCTGCTCAAGTTTACCCCACTCATGTCCAGTTGCTATAGCAAAGCAAGCCCAGAAAGCCACTCAAGATTCTCACCACTTTCCAAGTAATAGTTATATCCAAGAATAAGATAGCGCAATCTGGAGAAATTTCTAAGCTGATGTGGAATCACCCCATCAAATCCTGCAAGAGAGAGATTCAGATATCTTAAACTTTTCAGAAAACCAATAAATCTGGGAATTCGAATTCCTCCAAACTCATTGTTGCTTAGGTCCAGGTAACGCAGATGCTTCAAGTTTATCAAAGAAGCATCAATCTTACCACCCAACTTTAAGTCCTAAATTGAGTTCCCTAGAAAAAGGGTCCTCGTAGTCAGATGGAAGAGCACGAAGGTGGAGCTTCTGGACATGACCGGTTAAGTTGTTGCAAACAACTCCAGCCCATTTGCAGCAGTCTTGTTGGATGGTCCAAGACAAGAGCCTATTGGAAGGATCTTTAAGATGTCGCTTAAACCTGATCAGGAGGGCTTGTCTCTCACTTTCAATGCAAACGACATCTGAGTTTAGAGCACACAGACCTTTAATGCTAATAGTTGTTGCTATGATGACAAAAGCAAGCAAAAACTTTGTAGAAGTGGTCATGGAGCTGTCCATGATGATGGAAGGAAGATGAATAAGAAGATAACAATTGTGTGACTTTTATAGAGAGGTGTCCACACACGTTGCTTAATTCATTGCGTATGTAAGGGTGTGGTGACCTGCTTAGCTTCTTCGTGTCAATTCTTTCCAAGGAAGTTTAACCGCTCACTTGGTGGAATACTGGGACACAAAATTCGACTTTGTTTTTCAATTGCATTCCTGTGTAGAGTGGCCAGGGGAATGGAAATTTCAATTGTGATCGTAGAAAACCCTGTTCTTCATACCAATGTTTTCCAAGGAGAGAATCCCTTGAAAATTATGTGGAAAATTCAACAATTCATTAATGGAATGGAGACATACTGTGTGACTTAATGGTTTTCCATTTTGCATACCAGTCATCAAAGCATTTTTATTTTTCTCATAGAAACAAGGTCACTTATTTTTTATTGATTCTAAAATTGTCATATACTTATATATATTTGATATATATATATATATATATATATATATATATATGTATATGGTAAATTGCATTGACACTCTTGTTGATAAGTCAAAGTTAAAAAATAATTTCATATAATTTTAAAAGTCTAGTTCAAACTCAAGTTAAACCTTGATCAACACAATACTCAGCTTAATTGGCCTACTCCTCAGTAAAGATACAGTTTCAAGAAAAGCATGAGGCCAACCACTGAGATATCAAGGTTGGTTGCAGATGCAAGTACTTTCCTGTTTGCAAAGATTGACTATAAGCACTATATATGTCATCATCATACCAATAATATACTTCAACTTATCAGAATTGATGATTAACTTCCACATCAATAGCATAATTCTATTTCTTAAATGCCGAAAAACATTAAATCATTTTAAAATTTTCATTTTGCTTTTCTTACTGCTCATCAAGATATAGGTATGAAGTAACAAAGCCACGGATTAAAACTAAATACATTCATTTTTTTTTTAATGGTAAATACATAAAAGATACCTTCCTAGATCTGCTTTGTTTGACTGTCCCAGTAATTCTTCTCCCATAACTCTACTTGCTTTATTGAATTTGCTTTTCTTTCAAGAGATGAGCGAAGAGCGAGAGGATCGTAAGGAGGAGGCAATGCGCAAGGTGTTGAGTCTGAGGGACTCTTTACCAAAGGTTCCATCATAAAATTATTCCCTAATCCTTTTGCATGGCAAGCCATTGTCTCCGAGCAAAGTTCAACTGCTTTTTGAGGTACCTTGGGCTTAAATCTCAAGAGCTTAGCATATTCATTTAAGAGATGAAACATATAGTCATATACATACTCCATCTTCAAATTTTCTTGAATGAAATCACTTGCTGCCTTGCCAATGGCTTGTGCCTGGTAAATCCGTATAAAGCGACACGAAATAATGAAGTGCAAAACAGCTTCAGTTACTAACTTACGCTTGTTACCGAAAAAGAAAAAGAAAATAAGAGACAAGAAAAAAATATTCTCTCATCAATTGTTCCTAATAAATTCATGGACAACAAGAGAAAATTCAGCTTGAAGAAATGAAGTGCACAAAAGGTTGGATTCTGCTAGACTTTTTGTTATGAAAAATCTTGTGTATAATAATAACATGGGTCCTCATTACCTACTCTGGGCCTATTTTGAGACTTGAAACTGCAATCTTAAACCTGTCAGCCTGAGCTTTTGTCATTGAACCAAGAAATGGCCAATATCCATCCTAACAAATTACATTGTGAAAATATCTTGAAGAGGGATGCTAGCGACAGTCGTGTAAGGTGTCAGCAGCCTATTGGCTGCTGACTTTTACTATTTTTTTATTTTTTGTTTTTTTGAGCCTCACACCTTTCGATTCATTTTTTTATTATTTTTTCTGTTTCTTTGTCGATTCTCTCTCTTCTCCCTCCCCTACTCTCTTCCTCTCTCTATGTCTAAATTCTTTACCCAAATTACAGACATTGGACCCTACAATTTATTGTTTTACAACGAGACATTCACCAATTTGGGAAGAGAACTCAGAGTCGGAGGCATGACACCGGTGAACTGATTGTCCCGGACTGCAAAACGAAGAGATTCACACACTGAGACAGGTCCGGGATAGGACCCATGAACCGTCGCCGAGCTCTCCATCTCTAAGCTCACCGCGCCGACCAAAAGCTCATCACACAGCCGCCGGACCAGAGCTCATCACACAGCCGCCAGATCTGTTCTCACAGCCGTTTTCTTGTCTCCGCCAGATCCGCCGCGAGCTCGATCCACCACCGCCGGATTTGTTATCATCAACCTCGCAATCGCAGCCTCATTCTCTCCGATCGACCACTACCTCATCGATTGTGGCTCAACTGACTCCATCACCGTCGACGTTGACAACCGCCGTTTCGTCGGCGACTCTCCGCAGCTCGAATGATCTCACACAGGGACTCGAACCCACTTCTGAATTTTGTCAGCCGTCCTTTGTTTGCCGGTCCATTGTATGCCAGTTCCGGCCCAAGTTCTTGGCTGTAATAAAAAAAAAAAGAATCGACATAGAGAGAGAAAGAGGTAAGGGGAGGGAGAAGAGAGAGAATCGACAAAGAAACAGAAAAAATAATAAAAAAATGAATCAAAAGGTGTGAGGCTCAAAAAACAGAAAATAAAAAGGGTTAATTTCACCTACACCCTCTGATCTTTGCCAATATTCCACTTGCACCTCCTCTACGTTTCATAATTCCAGCTACCTCCCTTGAGGTTTTGATTTTGGTAACAAATCGCCCCTGCTGTTAAGCAACTCACGGTGTGTGATGATGTCATCAAGAAAAATTTGATGCAAGGTCAATTTTGCCCTTTTAATGTCTAAAATAACATCTTCAACCTCATTGACCAACATAGATTTACAAAACTACCATTGAACAATCAAGGTGATAGTGGAGCGGCGGCAGCACCTTCACCACCACCACCGATCTGACGTCTCTATTTTGCCGTTCGTAAGCTTGCCCTCTCTCTTTGCAACTGCAGCCTAAAAAATCTACAAGAATCAGAATCAATATATATATATGGCAATCGAAACATTTAAGTTGGCAATGATCCAGGGAACCAAGTTTCACACATCCTTGGTCAAATATTCCCCCCCGGATATGCAGACTTTGAACGCTAGGGCACAAATCTACATTCGGTTGGAGGAAAACGTAGCCCACCGTGCACAACACGCTACCCTCGTCACAGTGGAAAACAAGTCTCGAGAGAAAGCTGCAAGCACAAGGATGCAGAAGGTTCCTCATACCGCCACGCAAGTCACCCAAGCGTCTGAGAAGAGGCGAAGGACAGAGGACAGGCTTACCCCTCTCCGTACTACCTTAGCGCGCCTATTCCAAGAGAATAAGACGAGGTTCGCAACTCCTCAGCCCATGAAACAACCCTTGGAGCAGAGGGACAAAAGCAAACATTGTGCCTACCATAGAGACTATGGGCATACCACCAATGACTGCAGGTCCTGTGATACCCCTCGATTCTAGAGCCACGGGTGATCAAGTCCGAGCACAGACCCGAGGGATACCAGACAATTAATATGTAAACAAGCAGGAATAAAACTGAATTAAGAATAAAATAATGATATGCTGAAAAGAATTCTAATTGTAAAACCTCCTCCAAAAATAAAAGTTTTAATATAAACTAACTTTCCAATCCGTACAACTCGGGAATCCATCTAGTGGACCCCTAATTCCAAAACTTTAAATAAATTTACAGAATTAAAATCCAAAACCAAAATAGAAAGAAAATCCTATATAACCGGAAGAGTGAGTGTCTGAATCTGCATCAACACGATCCAACTCTAAGCCTAGTACTGGGGAATACCTGAAAAATAGAAGTGGGTCAGGCCCACATGCAAGTTCCAATCTACTACAATCCATACATAAACCCGATACGCAGATACATCCTTGATAGCTCGGCAATATCTACAATAGTCCATATATATATATACACACTATAGGATGCTCACTAGCCTATAACATAGTTCAGCCTGGGTAGAAGGTGACATATAAAACACGCTTTTCAGCGGCCAAGTACCTAGACCTACCAGGGAACATTAGCTATATCTAGCTACTCAACCTTTGCAATATACGCACCCTAACCGTGATCAGGAGACTCAAGCTCGTATCACGATACCATAAATATATATATAAATTTCTTCCTAACGCAGAAAGATAAAACAAACATCCGTTATGTCGTTCAACTGTTTTAGTTGACAGGACATGCATCCATGTAGGATTTAACTGTTTTAGTTAATCCATTCCGTATGTATGAAAGGGTAGGACTTAGCTTTTTGATCTAATCCATCCCTGATATGTCACCGTCCCATACCGGTACATATAATGCAAATGATCCACCAGTGATGCACATTCATTAGAACATCAAGTATATCCATGAACCAGCATAATAGAAAACAGGTATTATTAAGATCCTATTATGCATCCAGTATATGATTATAATCATAGATCCTCCTTTTAAATTGTTAAAGTACCGATAAACAATTTAAGCCATCAATTTCCATATAATTGACCGAACAGAAATTATGACAGTTCAACAATTATCATCCATAACATAATATAATGAATAACAGAATTATAACTGCACATTATACTAGAATTCCCAACCAATACATCCATACTAGTTCATTTACATTATTAAAACGAAGACTAGCATATAAATCCTCCTCAATCCTTGTCGGCATGTAAATTAATATTTAATTCTCATGGCGACTATTTAATCCCCAACTATAAGTCCGAAGCATGATCTAATGATACTCAGATATAAAAACTGAACACATTTTATTTGAATGCCAAAACCACCTCCATGCTAGTCCATTTAGTTTTCTAAAGCGAGACTAGCAATTACAACTTCCATTGCTCCTGACAACATATAATTTAGTATCTAAATTTCATGATGTCTATAACTATAATAGAAACCAACATTCCTGGGACCCATACATTATATATTTCATTTATATAACCTCACAAAAACAACTTTTATTTTAGTCCGTTTAATTTACTAGTA